AGATCCTATCCTGCAAAGAAATTTCTAGTCAGATTATGTCATGCTGCAGAAAGACTGAGCATGCGCCTGGTCAGGTTTTGTGGGCAACTGAGCATGTGCGAAGCTGAAAAGTAGGTCACGGATGACTGACAGGCCCAGGGGTCGAGCAGAGGGCATGCAGCCTAGGCTGTCTGCACATATCAGGATCGACTCTCCTGTATTGGCAGCACCCAAATCTAATAATTTTCATTGACAACCAGCATACAAGTAAACCCTGTAGATACGGACACTGGAAGAGCCACTCTTGTGGGAGCTGAGGGATTAGTTCTCCATCAGTGGGAAAAGAAGATGTGGGCCACAGCAGGAGGACTCAGGTGCCTACATACTAATGCCAGGAGCATAGAGAACAAGTGGGAGGAGCTAGCCCTCCTACTCTCCAGTGGGCATTATGATCTAGTAGGGATTATAGAGACCTTGCAGGACTCCTCACATGGCTGAAGCATAGATATAGAGGGCTACACTTTGAATAGAAGTAACCAGGTAGGGAAGAAAGGTGGTGGCATTGCTTGTTATGTGAAAGAGCAGTATACCTCTTTGGAGACCAACATCAGCTTCAAAACTAAACAGCTTGAAACCCTCTGAATTAAGTTGCCAGTGGGAGAGGCGTGGTGAGAGAGACCTAACTGTAGGTATATACTACAGACCACCAAACCAGGGGGAGGAACTCGATTTGGAGTTCACCTGAGAGTTGACTGAGGACACTTGTGCATGTGACATGGTCATGATGGGCAATTTTAATTATCCAGACATCTCCTGGGAGGAACACTCAGCCAAGCTGGATCAGGTGCAAACCTTCCTGACCTGTATCAAGGAGCTCTTCTTGACTCAGGAGGTGCATGGGCCAGCTAGACGTGGCAGTCTGCTAGACTTGGTCCTGGCCAAAGGAGATGACCTGGTGACTGACTGACTTAAATATAGAGGGAAGTCTGGGCAACAGTGACCATGAAATGATCATGTTCACTGTCTGAAGGCCAACAAATCTGATAGCAGGATTGAAATCTTGGACTTCAGAAATGCAAATTTTAACAAGCTCAGGTCACTAGTAGGGGAAGTGCTGCAGGATCAGGGACTGAAGACAAAAGGTGTGCACAAAGAGTGGTTGTTCCTTAAGGACACGATCCTTGAAGCACAAAGGAAATCCATTCCCATGCAGAGACAAGGTAACAGAAGGACTGGGAAGCCCTCTTGGCTAGACAGGAAAATAACAGTCCTCTTAAGAAAGAAGAAAGGCTTATAAATGATAGAAGCTGGCCCCAATGAGGCCAGCCCAATGAGGCAGGCCCCAATGAGGACTATTCCACAATAGCTTGCGTTTTCAGGGAACAGGTAAGAAAGGCTAAAGTGGCGACCAAACTTAGATTAGCAACAGGAATCAAGGACAACAAGAAGTCCTTCTTTAGGTACATAGGGAACAGGAGGAAAACAAATGGGAGTGTGGAGCCATTGCTCAACAACCCAGGAGAGCTGGTTACCAGCACCCAGGAGGAAGGTGAACTCCTGAATAACTACTTTGCCTCAGTCTTTCACTGGACCAAGGGGAAAATGACACCAGGTAGAGTACAGGATGAGCATGGTAGGAATAATCACCTTCCTACTATTGCCATAGAATTGATGTATGACCAATTAAAAAAATTAGACACATACAAGTCAGGAGGACCGGATGATCTTCATCTGAGAGAGTTGAAGGAGCTGGCCAAAATGACTGAGGAACCCCTGGCAAAACTCTTCCACAACCGGTAGTGTTCTGGAGAAGTCCCTGAGGACTGGAAGAGGGCCAGTGTTGCGCCCATCCACAAGAAGGGCAGGAGAGAGGACCCGGGTAACTCTAGGCCAATCAGCCTAACTTCCGTCCTAGTGAGAATCCTAGAAAAGTTCATCAAGCTGTCTATCTGTGATAAGCTTGC